TCCTTCCTTCCTTCCTTCCTTCCTTCCTTCCTTCCTTCCTTCCTTCCTTCCTTCCTTCCTTCCTCCCACTTCTAGTTACCTGGGCCATTTCTAGAAATCCTAGCTAGCTGTGCTTGGTTGGATTCTGCAGTTTTCAGTTTCCTGCCCCTGCCCCAGGGCTGAGCTAGTTGTATCTGCTGTGCTTTATGGAGAGAGGCTTGCAGTATGCCAGCACATCCCTGGTCATGCCAACACTACTGCCCATGAACCCAGCAGTCTCATCCCAGACTGGAGCCAATGTCTAGGCCAGTATAACCTCAAATTATTGTGATGGCATGGATATATCTTGGGAGACCTTTGAGAATCCTGCCTTCTCTTTTGGCATTCTTACTTCTCATAGGTGCCCCTCTTCTGTCTCTCTTCCACATCCATCTCAGTGCTATTTGGAGCCATCCCCAATTCTAAAAAGATTCACTCAATAATCAAGTGGGACCACAAATATGAGCCACCATGTGTACCAATAGCTCCTGTTGGCCAGCTCTCTTCCCTGCTTATCTCTCAGCAAACCAATCTGCTGGTGAGCAATATGTCATCCTCATGTCAGCTGACACAGCACTCTGCTGGACTTTCTAGTTCATTTACCATCCTTGTAGGATGGACTAAAATATTCCTTCTTCAGCTCTGTCTCACAGAGCATTTTGTCTCACCTTGAACACCACATCCAGGGATATTCAATTGCTTGTATTACCCGTAACTACAAGTCTGACAAGTTTTTGCTAAAATTTTGCAGAATCAGTTAGGTCAGAAAAGACTTGAAATCATTGAGTCCAAACTACGACCAAACTCCACCAGGTAAACTGAGTGCCACAAATCTGGTCTATTCTTCAACACTTCCAGGGATGGTGAACTCCACCACCTGTCCAAGCTGTGGGCTGACAGCTTTTTCAGGAGTATGCTGTGGGAGCCAGTGTCAGAGGCTCTACTCTGCTGCAATTGAGGCTTTTTATTCTTTGCCCTACCTTCACTGAGCAACAAGAACAAGCATACTGCATCCTTTTGTAAAATCCCTTTACCTAATAATAGGTAGCAGCTATGCCTTTCCCTCACTCACACACCTTCACCTATGCTTTTGCTTTCAGGTTGAACATGTTCTAGTTCTCCTCTGGAGGTTTTATATTGCAACACTCCTAAGCAAACATTGATCACACCTACAGTTCTTCTCTGAATTCCCTCTGGTTCCTCAACTAGAACCCTAGTCAGAAAATCTAGTCTGGCAGAAACACAAAAAAAAAAATCTTTGACAAATTATGCTTATGGCATTTAAAATTTCAAATGGTGATTTTCAAATTACCCTTCCTGACAGCTGCACAATAGAAACAAACTCAAGAGAGGTTTCTTTAGAAAAGCAATAAACAAAGAAAAGCTTAAGAGAGAAAATAAAGACAGAATATAAAAGAGAGAAGAAAGAGTCTCCAACTCATTACTTTCTTTGGCCTTCAGTATTTGAGGCAAAATAACAGAAATGGATGGGGGGATCATAGAGTTAGGAGAGTTGGGAGCAAGAGGGACCACTGGCAGAGCTTCCTGGTAAATTTACTTCCTTCATTAACACTAGGGATTATACAGACTTAGACAATCAAACCATAAAACTTCGAATCTTTCAGATATGAAAAAACTACTCAACAGAAAGAGAACAATGACATGGATCCACATTAGTCATCTAATGCCTAATAATGTTTAGTTTATGACCTTTGCCTCCTTCCAGGGTCAATGGAGAGAACAGGTACTCTAAAAACTGCTCTCTGGGGCACCCCATCTCTCATGATCACAAGCAGACTCATGAAGACCAATCCCTTCTGACAGCTACCTAGAATTACCTAGAGGCATTTCAGAATATATCTAACTATGGTGCTTCACTGCATAAATGCATCGCTGAAGATAATCATGTATGTCTATATACTTCTGAAGAGATTATGTGCCTTTGTGTTTTGCTGAAAGGACATAAGAAGCTTGTGAATTTGTTGCAAGACTCAGAGGGGAAATTGTGGCAAGAGATTGGATCAGATGATCAGGAATGCCTTCTCAGCCTCATTTATCTGTGACTATGTTTAAAGTTAAGTACATGTACAAAGGCTTTGCTGAATCTGTTTCAACACCTTACTCCTTCATATTAAGGTTAACTATCTGCTAACCAAGATGACATTTAACAGAGAGAGAGCAACTGAGAGCAAAACTCAGCTCCTGGATAGTTTGGAAATACTCATATTTGGAGTAGGGAAAAGTCTCCAGAGCATGCCCTGATTCTGCAGTCCTACTAATTTTTATGCTGCAGCTTCTCAAAGAATCCTATGTTTTCAAGGAGCACAAATTTTATGTTCTTATCTCCATTTGTCCCGGAGAAATTTTTACCTTGCTTAACTATTTCACCACCTAAAATCTAAGTGGTTGAGGGTGAGACTGTTCTTCAGTGCTTTGTTGAATACTACAGAGTTGTCTCTACAGACCAGTCTCTGAACAAGGGTTTAAAGAAAATCTATTTTTCTTGCCTGAAAACTAGAATACCAAAAGACAGGGTTCACACAAACAAAGGAATAAAGGCTTTCAAGTGAAGACAAGCAACTCTTCCCTCCAGGAAAATAAGTTTGGTTTACAATACATGATACAGATGAAACCATGCCATATCCTCAATATACTCCCAGTTAGCTGTTAAGCCAAAAGGAGAAGCATTTCAGCCAAGAGCTATTTACTCCATGTTTATTGCCTCTTTTCCTTATTTAGATTTCTGAGAAAGTGTTTAGATGGAACTTGGAAAAAACAGATATCTAGATTCTCCCTCCCCACTCCCAATCTTTGCCCACAAACTAGGTGCAAAGACAGACTACTGAGCAAAGGATCCTCCTGTTCAGGCTCTGGCAACACACCCTGGCATATCAGTAGGTCAGTAGGAACTATTTTTGCTTCCAATCTCTGACCAAGCCCAAATTTCAAATCTGAGGCTGTATTACCCAAACCAAATAATCCAGCTGCTCTTTGAACGTGTTCCCATTTGTGCTTTCTACACAAACAAATTAATTTTCTTCGGAGTCTTAAGTTTATGTTAAAAGACTAGTGCTACAAGTCCATTTAGCACAGCTGCAATGGACTGAGTCCAGTGGGAGCATCTGAGGAGAAGAGGAATGCTTCTGTAGAAAAGGAGGCTTTATCAGCTACTGTCAAGAAGAAATCAACAGGCCAAAAATGGTCTTGCCTTCACTTGGTCAGGGAGAAAAAAGTAAGTTGCAAATGCCTCCTGAAAGAAAGAAAATATTGCTGGACATTGCAGAGGTTGCCTTTGGCATGTGGGGGTCATAACAACATGTCTCAGCACCGCACAACAGACGGGGAAGACTCCTTGTAGAATTGGCTCTTGGAGACTGTCATGGCCTAATCAAACACATAAAAGTTGTTTGCTCTGTCTGGGTGCCAGAGTTGCAAGAGTTCTGAGCCTGACTTCAACCTCTTATGTCTCCCCATTCACCTGTAACAGACTGACCATTGAATTAGCTCTCATCATGCAATATCCAATTACACAGAGGGGATGACACTCCATAAAGATAACTCAGGAGAGCAGTATAGGGCCTCCCCTCCACAGGGACATGGAATGACACTCGCAGGTTACCCTGTTATTAGGAACAAATCACCCTCAATGCAGCAGGACCAAGTGGCTACTGAGCTGTGAGTCAGGCTCTGCATGTCTCTAGAGAGCTTTAGGGAGCATGATCACAATCAGTGCAGCAGGAATTCAGTGCAGGCTTTAACAGCACCACTTCCTGCAAATTGACTTGGGCTCCCCTGGGCAGATTTGTAGTGACCAGGCTTCCTCTTTGGGTTCTCATCCTCAGGATAATATGGTGCTGATGTACTTGAGGAACGGGGGGCCTCAGAGGGAGGTTTACCACACAGCACCAGCATTAGATGGGGCAAAACACTCTGGGGCTTTGCTTAGCAGAGAGCAAAATTAAGATGCAGCCATAAGTATGAAGTGTCACCAAAACTGATTCCATTGCTCAAAACAATTCTATTGTTGTAAGCAATGTTTGTATCAGTCTGGCAGACAACTGTTGAGTTGATGAGGAGCATGCTTGGCTGCTGAGGTTGTCACTGATGTTCACAAATAATGTGGCACAATTTAAGAGAATCTGTGGGGTGAAACAGGTCATGCATGGATCCAAAATTCACATATGCATTTTGGGTGGGTTTGTTTCATACCAGCTCTTCTTTGGTCTCACAGATAAAAGCTCACCAGTGAAGAAGAAAAGCAGTTCTGACCTGAACTACATCTATAACATGGATGCATGCTTTTATTGCTTGCCATGACAGAACTCAGCTGTACAACACTTATTAACCAGATCAGAAGAAGATTTGGTAGAGGAGAGGGTTTTGACAGGAATCACAGCAGACCAGGAAAGTCTCAGATACCATACCCCTGTTACTACACAGAACTCCTCCAAGAATAAGGCTTTCTATGGAACACTGCAGTCATTTCCCACACCTGTACTCAAGGCAAGGGCAACTTTCCATCCAGGAGCACCTGATCTTCACCACCAATCTTCTCACTCCCCCCGCTACCAGCCAGCTTGTCTCCTCCCAGTACCAGATCCAAAAGGCAATGCTTCACACTTTGCAGCTTGAGCCAACTAGAAAAAGAAAACCTATCCACTGCCAAGTTTAATCCCACACATTCCCAGCCAGTTTCTCACGTTCTTCTGCATTCACTTTGTAAGAGTTTTTTTCCTCTCTTAGCAATGTCAGGATTTCAGAAGTGAGGAGAACCCAGTCACATTAACTCTGCATACTGAACTACCCTTTATAGTAAAAGTGCTAAAAAGTGGGTCTTATGAAAAAAGTATTGTTTTGACTTGGCTATAAATCAAAGTTCCTGAATTACAAGTTTTTATTCACCCTACTTGCTTCAGGATTTGCTGTGACAAGAGTAGTGAATTCAACAGAGAAGGAAAAAATCCTAAGCGTTGTTTTCAGATTAGTGCAACTGTCTGAGAAGGTGTGGTAGGAGGCGTTGTTTCTCTTAAATAATTACTTTTTGTTTGTAGAAAAGTGGCCAGCTGGGAAAAGGAAAGGGAAGGAAATATTTTATATGAGCTCACAAATAAGCACTTCAAGTTCCGAGAGCATCTCTTCATTTTTGAAGGAGGATCTGGATTTTACTTGAAAACTAGAAAGATTAAGACAAAGAATCTTACATCATCTCAAAGCTAAAGAAAAGTACTTCAACATCACTATTATCTTTCTTTTGATAAACCTAATACTGAACTTGAGTAACAGATTATAGGACTTTGTGTATGAGACAGAGGCAACGAGAGAGAAGTGAACATGAGCTTTAAGGTGTATTTCAAATTTTACTTTGATTTATGTTTAAACAAAACTGCAATTTAATTATAAAATATTACTTATGTCCAGGTACACTTTCCATCTAAGAAACTAATTTTTAAGGCAACACAAATTATATTTTTTTAATCAAACTTATCATGAGAAGATAGAATCAGAATCAAAAATAACCACACCTTCCTAAATCTGGCACCCAAATATGAGTGCATGTAAACATACGAGTCCTATGCTAGCTATGTTTGTTTCTCAATTCACTATAGAGAGAAGCGTCCATGAATGACATCTCTTTCAAAATGAAGCTTTCCATCACGACTGGACAATATTAGTAGAAAATAATGTATCAAGAAAATAAAAACTATTGTAGGACAAAGGACTTCTCAGACTGAATGTGAGCAGGTGGGAAGAGACAAGAAGGAAGAACGTCCCACAAAGACTATGAGCAGGAATATCAGACACTGATCTGTGGGGAGGGGAAATTGCAGGGCAGTGTTGAGCTTCTGGGAGGAAATGCAAAGGAAATGGAGAAACAAAGTGCTCCCAATATTGCACCTGTGCAAAAGACCAAGAAAATCACCCAGGGGCACGAGGACTTGAGCAGTGCAAATGCAGGTAACTCAGAAGGGTGAGAGAAGGAAGATGAGGCACAAGTTTGTTGCTATTTTACACAGTTTAATGCTCATCTTGCAACAGGTACAACCAATCCCCATATTGCTGTGCATCAACCGTTCTTCCATCAGGATAACACCAATCATCTGCAGCTATCCAATATGTTTACACAGAGTCTTAGCCATATGTTCCTATGGCCTATGTGCCAAAAATCAGATCAACTTCCTATCAAAGTCCTGCTGAAATCCTCTGAGTCAAAGCCAGACTGCTATACTTGGTGTGATACCATGGCAACTCAGAGTCCCCATTACTACTGAACTCTGGAGGTCCTTGAAAGACTCTCACAAAGCACAACAAGTATGTGTGGCCCCATCAGTGTGGGAGATACAGGGACACAAACAAATGTAAATACTCTTGTCTGAACAACTGAACGCAGTGGAAGAGACAGAGAAGAGATCCTTGGGTTCAAAAGTGGATGCTGAAAACTAGGCAGGGATATTCATCCCTGCACTGGTCAAAATTGATCAGTTTTCTAGCTTTTGCATACAGACACTTCAGCCTCACCTGTCTTTGCAAGCACTAACACCCTCGTGCACAACTGAATGACTTTCCAAACATCAAACTCCGCTAGATGATGTGTTTTTCCTTCTGGGAACTTCAGGTCGTTAAAATAAATCATGAGGTCATTGAATGAAACTAAGGGAGATTTTTGGTATTTGTTAATCATACAGTTAACTTCTGAAAGTGTCTTTCGGATATATCATTGTAATTGATTTTATGAAATTGCAGAGAAAGTTTGCTGCAGTTTTTCCTTGATGAAAGGAAAAGAAAGAAAAGGGAAAGGAGGGAAGAAACAGCATTTCTGTAATTTTTAGGACAGGGAAACAATGAGTCCAGGATGGTGCTTGAGAGAATGAGCACTCAATTGCTGAACTAATGACCTGTCTGTTTTCATGAGCTCCTTGTCTTTAGTCTCCAAGAAGCAAGCTATTCAAACTGATTACCACTCGAATTACTTCGGGTATCAGTGTTAAGGTTTTGTAGAGCATGCAGATAGAGAGAGGCACGCATGCTTTGAGACCATGTCTATTCTACCTGAAGGCAGAGATTCACACGTATGATGGAATTACCGAGCACATAGGAAGCATGGAGCAGCAGATTTTTCTTTTGAAAATCCAGTCATAAAATTTATATTAGTCTTGAAACTAAATAACATCTGAATCGCAGTTCTCCTTGTGTGATTGTTATCAAATAATGATTTTATCATAAGCCTAAATGTTTTTAATAAAGAATCCCTTCCCCTAGAGACACATAGTTGTGAACGAAAACAATTAAAGAAGTTGATTAACTTCTTTTATAAAATAGTTTCTCAAGTTTTTTTTCTCTCTCTTTTTTTTTTCGTAGTAGAGAAGTAGTTGAAAAGGTTAGTTGAATAAAGCCCAAATCCTCAAATACCAACAGTCAAAGGCAAAAAATATTAATGGACTATTTTGAAGTCAGTCTCATGATTTGTAAAGAGTTGAGAATACTAACATCAGAACAATCTTCTTTCCTGGTTAGCATACTAGAATGATTAAATACTTTTGCCTGATTAAATAGTTTTAAGTGCAATATAAATGTCAAGACATTGGTTAACTACTGCTGCTTTCTTGTAGAAAATAATTACTCTATACACACCAAGTGCAAACAGTGCTTCTCAGCACAAAGTCAAATCCTTGACTTGCACTCAATATCAAAAATGTTTTGAGAAATGCTTGAAATTACTAAGGAGTCTAATACTATGTTCTCCTTGTTTCCTTTCTTTGTTCTCTTCTTTCCCCTCATCATTAGGTATCAAACCTGCTCAAACAATGGGCTGGTGGCTGGTTTCCAGAGTCAGTATTTTCCATCGGTGCTGGACCGTGAATGGCAATTTTACTGCTGCCGCTATAGCCGGAGATGCCCATATTCCTGCTGGTGAGTTCAAGCAGACACCAAACCTCTGAGCCTCTTTCCCCCAACAGTCTTTATAAATGTCTTTGGCTGCTTGACCTGTCTGAAACCTTGTCTGAAAAAAGAGTTAACTGTGCTTTATGGAGCTACGCATCTTATTTCCAGTCTGCTACAGGATTCTTAAGGATCCAAGGCTAAGGGAGGAGAATGAGGGTGCAGATACAGTGAACAGCACAATGCAGTAGCTGGCCCTCAATGAACAGGTCTGGGGATCAGCATCAACCTAGCTGTGATGGAAACCATGACAGAAGTCTCCAAAGTGGAATGATATTTTCCCACTTAAAATCCAGTACATTTACTGGAGTAGGAGCATCTCTTTGCTACACATTTATGCCACAATAACTTATAAGAGCGAACTTATGCCACTCACCTCAGAAAAAATGTTAGTAGTGCATGCTGCTATGCTTCCTCTCTCAAAACTGTTTAAAGATCAAAGTCAAAATGAGCTACTGATCATAAAACCAAAAGAAAAAGGTGGTCTCATCTTAGCAGAGTACCATAACTGGTGCTGGCAACTTTACAGAGACTGTGAAAAAATTAGCTATGCATCCCAAGCTTCCCAGTTTCTCTAAAACACACCACAGGTGTGGTTTCTCTAAATTAAAACCAAAGACAGGAGCAGACTGTGTAGAGGTAGCTCATATTGCTCGTGTCCATTCTGTTCAAGAGAATCATAATTTTATGCCCCAGGGTTACATTCAGTTTCAGTGATACAAAGAATAACCCACCTGCATTAAAAAAAAAAAAAAAA